ATACTAAGGCCTGCCCAAGAGACATCTCACGGCTGTGACAGGAAACGTGAGCGGCTGCACGTAGCAAGCAGGCTGGGCCCCTAATAAGCGAACGTGCATCTCACATCTGTACACTGGTGTCTGCTACAACACCTACGTCCACTTAGTGGTTCGTCGTTTATTCTCTATGCTCCCAATTACACTGGGCAGCCAGCCGAGGGCGTCACAGGATAAGCAGGACTGGACCTTGGCCATTAGCTAGCACAGGAAATGGGGGCCCAGAAAGGTTAGGAGATCTGGCCACAATCACACAGCAACCTCATGGCAGCACGGGACTAGACACAGTCCCTTGACTTCCAGTCCCTAACACACTTTCCAGCAACCGAAGCACATTCCCTGGATCGCCTTGTCCTTCTCCGACCGTTCTCCAGGCTACCATTTGTTGCAGCTACTAAATGTGTATGGAGTGCCTTCTAAGGGCCAGGCAGCGTGTTACCACAGAAGATACGAAAACCAACAAGGTGGACCCGCTGCCCACCATGAACTCCCAGTCCAAGGAGGAGACAAGGGATCTTTTATTTCAACAACAGTAAATCAGATGATGGAGCAAGGCACCAACTTTCCTCCGCTGAAATGAGGAAAGGGCGAGGGGTCAGGGCAAAGCTTTCTGGAGAGTATTCACATGCTCTCGATAAATGTCAGCTATTACTGTTTTCAGTCTTTGTGTTATAGCTAATTCCCCCACAACTCCCCTGACACCGTGGAGGGCCCCGTCTCGGCTACAGTCTGGGACGTCTCGGGGACGTACTCTGCTCTGGCTTGGTCGGAGGGAGGCACAGAAACGTGGGTGGGTCTTGGTGACTGCTGGACGGTGAGCCAGGACTGTGAGGTCCTCTGAGTGAGGTTCGTCCAGCTTTGTCAACTTCGGAGAAGGCCTGAGGTCCCTATCCCCGACAACTGGAAACTCACAGAAGCCACGTGCCCAGTACAGACTTGGCACCATCACCTCTGTCCTGCTTTTGCCTCCCAAGCCCTTCCACCTCTGCTCTGGCGGACACGTGTCCTTCCGTGGATGGTGGCTGTGGGCAGGACAGCCTTCGGGGCAAGCTGTAGAGCCTTGGGCTGCAAATCTCAGCAGAAAGGGCGACATTTCTTATATACAGAGTGTCGCCTTACAGCCGATTCTTAGACCACCCCCTCTGCATTTAGCCTCTGACCCATTAGTTGAGAGAGTGTCTCGGAAAACTGAGGCCGGATGGAATGATATCTGTAAAGCTCTCTCGGGGGGCGTCTCGGCCTGACTGGGACCTGATGGAATGATATCAGCTGTCTCCCCTNGGACGAGCGCCCTGCAAACTCTGGGCAGCACTGCCAGTCGTGAAGGTGACCCCAACGTTACCTGTCTTCCCGAGCAGACAGTCCCCGAGACCACGACCCCAGGCGGAGGTGATGTAACGGTGGTGGTGACAATGCTGACTGTAGGCAGAGTGCCTGGGGGTGGGGGTGGGGTGGGGGAGGGAGGCCTCGCAGACCAGGAGGAGTTGTGACCTACCAGAAGTACCAGAGCCTCTGCACGGAGAGGGCGCGCACGCAGCACCGGGAGCCACAGCAGTCCTCGTAGGGGCGGCATCTGCGGGAGAGAGGGCACAGGCTGGTCAGCGTCCGGGGTCAGAAGGAAGGACCGGGCCAGGCACGAATCCAGGCAGGTGGCAGCGCAGATAGGACAGCCTGGCGGCATTTCGCAAAACTAGCCACGCTGACCGCTGTCAGCCTGGGGGCCCACACGGAAGTGCCGAGATGGATACAGTCAACAGATTTCAAAGCAGCACGTTTACTACCTACACACCCCCGTGGGCCAAGTCACAATGGCTTCCTGGTGGGAGGTGCCCCGACCAAAGACTGGCAGCTCAGCTGTGCCACCGGAAGGAAGCCTGATGACAGACGGGCGTCAGTGTGCTGTGGCACCTGCTCAGTGCCGTCCCCCACCATGTGCAAAAGATGGGGACACTGCCGCCTTGACAAGTCCTGTAGGCTGGAGACAGAGGTTAGAGTCACACCAGAAGGCTGGGCCCTGGTCTTGCCACTTACTAGCAGTGGGACGCTGGGCAAGTTATTCAACCTCAGTTTCCTCAGGAACAAAATGGGTGGGAAGGCAGGGCCCCCTCACAGTGCTGCTTTCAGGGCCAAGGCTGTCACCCTTACACGAAGTGCCAACAAGGACTGTCCTCGCTGTTGCTGACCCCGCTCCCCATGCCCAGTGCCTGAGGCTTAGGGCCCCAGCCCAGCGCAGGCTCCCCCAGACGCGCGCAGGGGCTGTCCCTCCCCAAGAAGAGCCTGAAAAAGGCCCTCCCCGAGGACGAGGATGGGACCCCTCGCAGGTCCCAGGAGTCAAAGTCTCTGGTGTGGAGGCACTTTCTATCTAGAAGAGGGGGGCAAGCAACACACAAGAAAACCAGGAAGTGCGTTAGATGGCAACAGGTCCCACTACGGTGAGGAATGACGCAGGCACGGCCGGTTGAGAGCACGGGAGGGGGGTGGTAGATGATACGATTTTAAACAGGGTGTTCAGGGGTGGCTCACTTAGAAGGTGACATCTGAGCAGAGACCATGAAGAAATCCAGCCTGGCAACACCCTGGGCCGGCACAAGGACCTCACGCTGGGGGACGAGTGCTGGCTCCAGGGCTCCCCCAGTCGCAGCTCCACAGGCACCGTGGCTGCATTGCGGAGGAGAGAGATTCAGCACAGAGTGCAAGAGGAAATGAAATGCCAGTGACATGGGCCCGGGAGTCTGCATTGGGGTTGGACCCGCAAAGGCCCAGGACAGCACGCACACCANTTTCATTTTTGAAAGACATTTCCCATTGTTGTAACATTCCTAGATCTTTGGATTTCAGAATATTGTAGAAGCCCTATTCTAATCACTGATCCCCCAGTGGGGAGCTGCGTCTGCCATACTCTAAGCCAGGATCGCCTCGCCAGCATGGTGGCATCCCCTGCCCACTCTCATCCCTAGGGATGAGGAAGAGAAAGGAGAAGGAAAAAGAAAGACAATAGGAGCCTCCTCCGTGCTTTCCAAGGAAGGCTGGACACTCCGAGGGCCGGGCAGAGCAGGTGTGAAGCCTTCCCGCTGGCCGGACAACTCACAGGAGTGAGAGTGAGCCAAGGGCACCGCCACTGTGTGAGACCGCTAAGCAGAAATGCTCTGCCCTGTCTGAACTAGAGTTTTCTAAAATTATTCCACTCATGACATCATTGTTTTAAAACTTCACAACTCCCTACCTCCATGAGCGAGTGCACCCGCCCCTAAGTGTATATACACCTGTGAACTAGCACAGGACAAAGCCACCAGCAGGAAAACAGAAAGGTACAGTGACGACGAAGCTTTCTTTGAGCAAGGCAGGAGCTAACTGTCCTGCCGAAGCACGCCCCTTCCTCTGTCCCCAGCTCCCTGGGACCTGGCCAGGGCTGCTAGCTCCTTGGCCTTTCTAGCAGGGGAACAGCAATGCCCTCCTGCACAGAACGGACCCTAAATCTATAGCAGAACGCCCAAGGTGAGGTGAGGGCAAGTGTTTCGTGTTACGCTGGCTAAATCAGATGGGTTATGAAAAGCACGAGAAACAGTTTTGTTTTGTTTTGAAGTGCTTTAAAGACTCTCAGAAGCACACTAGGCAGCCCAAAGTGATCCAGTTTTATTCATGGAAAATGAGTTTAATTTAGACTATGTTAGCTCCTGTCGGGCTCAAGAAATGAAGTTCGGACAGCCAAAGAAATTGATTTATTTTGGCAAGGAATAGCAATTTCAGGTCTCTGTCCCCTAATAACAATTCATTTCACTAGAGTCTTCTATGATAAGCTGATAAATGGGTCGTTCTTCAAGGTGGCATGTTAGATGTTTCTTTCCTCTCCATCACGGCTAGAGAAGGCACGCGCTCCAGAAACTTGACACTCAAGCTCCACACAATCAACAAACAGCCTCCTCTGATGCTGCCTCCAAAGCTCAGGGAACCCCAGAACTCAAGTCTGAAACCCCTTCTTCCCCTTCTGCTGCCTTGGCTGCTGCTCCAAGCATCGTAACCAAGCCAGTCCCACAGGCCCTGCCCTACCCACAGCCACATCTGCAGGATTTCCTTTAGTTTAGGGTTCCTTAACCTGAAGAAGCCACTCATATGAGACCCCAGTACCCCCTCTCCTAACTCTTAAGGTAACAACAAAAATAACATGAAACATGGCCTTTTTGGACTTTTTCCTTGGTGAATATTTGGAATACCATTTTACAGATTAAAAAGCTGAGGCCCCATTGGGTGTCTTGCTCAGAGTCACAAGGTTTCCTGATGGTGGCAAAATTAGCAACCCTGGGCATCTTCTCCTGGACTAATCAGCGTTACTTCAAGGAACCTCCTTTGCCCACCTCCAACTCCCCCATGTGTCCTATGACTACAGGATGGTGGGAGAGGAACAGACAGAAACATCAAGAACATGTTGGTTCCTCTGACATTAGCAGACTCAGGGGAAGGCAGCTCTCCCAGCTTGGACCGCCTCAACGCTTAGCTGCCCACATGGGGGGTGGTGAGTGCACATGCACAGGTGTGTGTGTGTGTGTGTGTGTGTGTGTGTGTGTGAACCTAAGAGGGGGATGAGCTACAGTCAGGTAATAAAAGCACTGAACTCTTTACTATACCACAATTCCCAGACACTCTTATATGTGGCTGTTGGGAAGGAACTTTGGCAATATCAGGGAAACTACGGATGCATTTCTCTTTAATCACCATTCTCTTTCCACAAATATGGAGCACCATAGGCACAAGGTTATTTATCGTGGCATTAATTCTCATAGCAAAATCCCAGAAATGACAAAAATGCCCACTCCTAGCAGACCAGCGAAATAAACGACGCTACATCCACATAGTGGAGTACTAGGTGGCCAACAAGAATGACATCTCTCAGAACTGGTATGAAATGGTCTCCAAGATGCAGTGCCACCTGAAAAAGCAATATAGTCATGTGCCACTGAACAACCAGGATACTTTCTGAGAAATGTATGGCTGGGCGATTTCGCCGTCGTGCAGACATCATGCAGTACACTTCCATACACCTAGGTGGTCCAGCCCACTGCACACCTGGGCTGTGTGGTGTAGCCTGTTGCTCCTGGACTACAAGCCTGTATAGCATGTAACTGTACTGAATACTGAAGGCAACTGTAACATAATGGTATTTGTGTATCTAAACACAGAAAAGGTACAGTGAAAATACAGTGAAAAGATTAAAAATGGTACACCTGGATAGGGCACGTACCATGAATGGAGCCTGCAGGACTGGAAGTTACTCTGGGGGAGTGAGTGGGTGGGGAGTGGGTGCAAAGGCCTAGGATGGACTGCATGATTGGAAAATTTACAAACACTGGACACAACACTTAGGCTACACTAAATTTATCAAACAACAGAAGATTAAATCAAGCACAAGAGGAAATGATGCAACCAAGAGACCAGGTAAACACAAGATGTATGAGGCTACTGCCGGCATAAGACAGCACGCTGTTTTACAGCAAACTTTGTTTAATAAGTAGAAAGAGTCCACTCTAAAATAAGAATGAAGGGGGCCGGCCGAGTGGCNATTTGTATGGAATCACAAAAGACCCTGAATAGTCAAAGCCATCCTGAGAAACAAGAACAAAGAATACCTCAGTTCCTGATTACAAAGCTACAGTAATAAAAACAGTGTGGTCCTGGCATAAATACAGACACATTGACCAATGGAACAGAATAGAGAGCCCAGAAACAGCCCCCACATGTTCGGACAACTAATATTCGACAAGAGAACCAAGAACACCCAACATGGAGAGGCAGCCTCTTCAACAAATGGTGATGGGAAAACTGGACTGCCACTCGCAGAAAAATGAACCAGGACCCCGCCTCACACCACTCTCAAAAGTCAACTTAAAATGGAGCCAAGACTTACACATAAGACCTGATACCATAAAACTCCTGGGGGAAAAACGCATAAGGGAAAAGCGCAACACTGGCAGTCTTGGCAGTGATTTTTTTCAGTATTCTAACAATGGAGTGATCGTGCTTTTTAATTGTCAGGACCCTTCGCCTTGGCAGGTCTGAGGGACCAGGACAGGGCTTGCCTCTGTCATCTCTGTCAATCAGAGAGGCTTTCAAAGTAAGTCATGAACCAGTAAATGAATAAAGGAACCAATGAACAAGGAAAGACAGACCAGGAATGACCTCCTCCTCCCCCAGCCTCGGAAAACCCCGGACGTGGTTCATCAGCTGATCTGCCATACAATCTGAAAAAGACCCGTTTGCACAGAAGATACGGTTGAACCACACTTGTACCAGAAGTGGAATCAAGAAGCTAAAGCTCACAAGGCGAACGCATGGTGCTGAGAAGAGCTAAACTGTTTCACCTCCCTGTCATCTCACACCCATTTTCCTTCAACCTGACAACCCTGTAATTAGAGCCCAAGTCTATATTTTCCGAGTGGGCTCTGTCTTTCTGCAGCAGAGGAGGTGGTCTGCCGAGACTTCCGCTATGTGGGGCGCCCTGTTCAATACAAAACCAAGGCAGGAAACCTGCCTGTTTCCCTGGGCTGTGGCCCCACTCGCAGCCAAGCCACCTGCTCCTCCTCCACTTGTCTCATCAAGGTGAGAAACCGCCCAAGAGTGACAGGTAAGAAAAATGTACATACTGGCCAATTAATAAATAGCCCTCTTGGCTACCATTACATATGTCCTGTCCAATCCCCCTACACGCTAGAAGACATAGTGTTTCTGCTGTGACATGATTAGATGCCTATGGAAAAAAAACTCATGTTTTAAAAATTCAACACTAAAAATAGCAGAGTTTTGGGGAAAACTTGGTTCAGGACATTTCACATAAGACCTATGGGACTTCAAAACACAATGAAAGATAACAATGGACAACCTGGAAAATTAATTTGGCCACCTAGGCAGGTGGCTCAAGAACAGTCAGTGACTAACACAGCAGACGTTAGAAACACATTCAAATATGGCGGGGGGATGCACCAATGCTTCAGATGGAGTAAGACNCAGGTTTTAGACCTTTGATCGGTCAGCCCATCAAGTCAAATGCTTCACAGACCTGAGGATGAATTGATGGTTTGTTCTGTCAACTTCAGTTGACAATTCCAATGTCAGAACCTTTTCTTTCCTGGTCTGGCTTGGCTTCCTTACCTGTCTGTTGAGACATTGCTCATATTTTGACGACCTTTTTACTTTGATCTGGTGGACACCCCATGGCAAGGTCAGACATCGCCAGTGCCTGCTCGCCGTGTCCTTTCATGGTGGAAGGGGCCTCTTCAATAAGAGCATTAGTGCTTTCTACCATCACCTTTGGGGGTTAGGATGCAACACGTGCATTTTAGGGGGACACAAACCTTCAGCAGGAGTCTAGAGCTCTGATGGGGTATTACCGTAAACTCTTTCTCCTTGTTCTGAGGATGAGAAAATGCCTCCAACTTACACCAGCAGTCTTCACTGACGAACCCAACAACAAGAACAGAGGGAGAAGAGAAATTCTCCCTTAGAATTTCTGCCCTGGGGACAGACGCCACCCCTTCCCCAGGCCGCTAAGCAAAGGCTACACTTGCTGCCTCATCATGGCAGAGGAGCAGGGGTTAGGAAGAGGGGCACGGGAACAAACGCACAGTGAAGGACCCTGCCCCCACCCGCCCCCCCTTTCCACCCGGCATGTCCCAAAAGCTCGCAGCG